GGGGTTGCAGAAAGAAAAAATGATCACCTTCTGGCAGGGATGTAAATTTGAGGGGACGGGTCGGGTTCAGGTTGAACTCGAAACTGACCCGGCACTATTTGGGTCAATCCGAACCCCACCTATTTTTGCAAACGGGTCGGTTTTCCGAACCCGAACCCTACCCGCTTCGGGTCCGGGTCAACCCGACCCGACCCGAATGACCTGGTGCCAACAAAAAGCGCTAGTTTTTTTGTCTAAAAACGGATCAATATCTAATTTTCGGGCCAATCTCGGGTTGCCGGGTCAAAAATGGTATTCCGGGTCAAAAACAGATCAATTTCGTGTCAACGAGTTAACCCGAACATGACCCGATTTTTGAAACAGGTCGAATTGTTGAACCCGAACCTGACCCATTTCGGGGTCGGGTTAACCCAAACCCGAAATTTTCAGGCCAGGTTCAGGTCGGGTTCAATATTGACACCCTAACTTCTAGCCTTCACCTGTGTATTCCTATTCCACCAAAATGTACCCAAATCCTATTGGGAGGAAGCCCTTCAAACTGTCACATATCTCATAAACCGACTACCTTCAAAAACCTTAGGACTGAAAAATACCAATAAATATTCTACCCTTCTTTTTTCCCGAATTTTGAACCCATAATAATCTTATATCCAGAATCTTTAGTGCACTGCCTATGTTCACACTCACAGTCAAAATAGATGAAAATTAGATCCAAGAGCACTCAAATATTTCTTTTTGGGATATTTATCCACCCAGAAAGGATATAAGGGTTTTCATCCCTCCACCAAGAAAATCTCGTATATGTCGATATTATTTTTTATGAACAAAATTCTATTTTATCAAACCTCATCTTCAGAGGGAGACTGAAACTGAGAAAGATGAGAAAACTGAGATTACTCCTCTTAACCTACCAACTCCAACCCACCCACCTAAGATTGAGGACAAAGCTATTTTTCATAACAAGAGGCTTGGGAATACATATTCCAGATGTAAAAATCCAAACTATGCCCCAAAACATATCCAAGAATCTAAACAAACTCCTCAAATTGAGGTAAACACAAGAAAACCTCCATTGTAACCCACAACCAACTTTGTATCCTTTCATAATTTCTCACATTCACACAAAAATTTCTTGGTTACACTAAATGATATTCATATTCCTAATAATATTCCTGAGGCCTTATCAGATGATAATTGGAAAAGTGTTATGAACAATGAAATACATACCCTGGAGAAGAATAATACCTGGGAGATCACCTACCTACCAGTAGGGAAAAAACAAGTCGACTGCAAATGGGTATTCTCTATGAAATACAAAGCTGATGATATACTGGAAAGGTATAAGGCAAGACTCATGTGAAATGGGTATAAGACATACGGCATCGACTACCAAGAAACTTTTGCAACTGTGGCGAAGATGAAAACCGTTAGAATCTTACCCGCACTAGCAGCTAATTATAATTGACATCGGGGACAATTGAGTGTCAAAAATGCATTACTACACAGGGACTTGGAGGAAGAGATTTATGGAGATTCCACCAGAATTCAAGGAAAAATCTGGAGGGGACAAGGTGTGTAGGTTAAGAAAGTCTCTATAAGGGCTAAAACAGTCACCTAAAGCTTGGTTTGGAAGATTCTCAAAAATTATACTTCTTAATGATCATCAATAGAGTCAAGGGGACCATATATTATTCTTCAAACACTCAAACTCAAGGAAAGTCACAAAATTATTAGTTTATGTGGATAATATAATCTTGACTAAGAATGATGAAAAGGAGAAGGTGATTCAAAGGAAATGTCTTACGAGAGAATTTGAGATCAAAGAACTTGGTAAATTAAAATATTTCATTGGAATTAAAGCAATCCACTCCAATAGAGATTTTTCATTTCACAACAAAAATACATCTATGATCTTCTTAAAGAAACAAATAAACAAGCTTGTAAATCAGTATCAACACCAGTAAAACCAAAACTCAAATTAGAGGAAGCTAAGGAAGATCCATAAGTAGATAAGGGAACTTACAAAAGATTTGTGAGGAAATTGATCTATCTTTTGCACACCATATCAGATATAGCATTTGTTGTAAGTATGGTCAATAGTTCATGAAAAATCCAAAACAGACTCATATGCAAGCTGTAGATAGAATACTACACTATGTTAAGGGGAAAACGGGAAAAGAGATTCTCTTTAGAAGAGACTGTGGAATAACCCCAGAAGCATAAACTGATACAGATCATGCAGTATCACTAGTAGATAGGCGATCTGCCTCAGAATACTACACATTTATTGGAGGAAAAGTTGTTAAATAGAGAAGCAAGAAACATAATGTGGTGGAAAGATCTAGTGCAGAAGCAGAATACAGAGCTATGACCTTAGGAATATGTGAGCTACTATGGATCAAGATGATTCTAAAAGACTTAAGGATCAAGTAGAAAGAACCCATGAAGCTACATTATGAAAACAAATCAACAATCAACATAGCTCATAGTCCAGCTTAGCATGACAGGACCAAACATAGAAATGAATACATTTTATAAAGGAAAAATTAGACAGTGGTTTTATATGTATCTATCATATCTCATCAAAAGACCAGCTTGCAGATATTTATACCAAGGGACTTGATAACTCAACCTTTTGGAGACTGATTACTAGACTAGAAATGACATATTTATATTTCCCAACTTAAGGGAGAGTGTTAAATCTTAGTCATCCCTCAGTAGATTGATCCCACGGCTAAGATGGGGATCCATGGGAAGCTCACCTAGATCACGCCGATCTCTTTACATAGTTAGGTGGTTGATTTAGGAAGGATTATATTATGGCAATGATGTAACCTAAGGCTCTGATACCAAATTGATGCAATAAAAAAATAAATATTGCAAACTCAAGACTTCCTTTCCTTAAAACATAAACTAGCACAAATAGAATAAAACAATACTATTATAAAACAGACACACCTTACAACTTCAAATAAAAAGAGCACAAAACCTTATAATTTAAAATAAAATAAGGCGCAATGACACCTTACAACTACTAAAAGTTTTGAGAAGAAAGATACAGGTGGAATGGGAACCATAGAGAGAAGAAGTAGATAGAAGTCCGAGATGAAGTTTTCAAAGCTAGGGAGGTAGAGGAAAGTAGCTCGCAAGTAATATAAACCCACAAGTTTCACTTTTCAAATATTCTTCACAATCTCTCTCTCTCCTTCACAAAGGAATTCAACACCAATTTATAAGAGAAAGAAGGGGGAATAACATTCAACAGTTAACATAATTGTGCCACCAAAAACAGCCAATAGGAGCCTATGAAGACAGCCCATTTAATGAGGATTTAATGCACTTAGTATAGGAAAACAACAAAGTGGAAACTGAACAACCACCATGGGAAGACAAAACATACATATTAGAAGACCAAACAGTCACATGAGAAGACCAAACAGCCACCAAAAACCCCTCCAAATCAGCCCCCACCTTGATTGCATCAATTCTCCCATGGTGGAAAAAATCTCATCCCCTGATGAGAATGCCTTACAACTTCCATGATGTTCTGAATGCGCTATTTCTAATGGGAGATGTTCCTCTTGAATAGGAACTTTGGCTTGTTGATTGATTTGACTTATATATATATATATATAAAGGGAAAGGAAAACTCACACGACAAGCTAAAGCTCTATTACCAACTTGATGTAATTTAAAAAAATACTATGATTGCAAACTAAAAGACTTCCTTTCAATAAACAAGCAAACACAACAATAAAACAGAATACAACAACGCTTACAACTTCTAATAAAAAAGGACATAACAACACCATACGACTAATCAAAGCTTTGAGAATAAAGATACAATTGGAATGGGAACCGTGGACAGAAGAAGATAGAAGTTTGAGACAAAGTTTCAGAAGATAGGGGTAGAAAAAAATAGCTTCCAAGTTAAATAACCCATAGGTTTTAGTTTCCAATTATTCTTCACAATCTCTCTCCATTCTCAAAGGAATTCAGCCCCAATTTATAGGAGAAAGAAGGGGAATAACATTCAATAGTTCACATAATTGTGCCATCAAACACAACCACTATCAAGACAGCCCATTTAATGAGTTAATGCACTTAGTATAGGACAATAGCAAGGTGGAAACCGAACAACCACCATGGGAAGACAAAACAACCATATTGGAAAACCAAACAGCCACATGGGAAGACCGAACCACCACCAAAAATCCCTCCAAATCAGCCCCTACCTTGACTGCATCCGGCAATAAAGCAGCATTCTGTAATTGATTTATTTCTTTACTAGAGAATAAAGATTTTGTATAAATCTATAAATAGGGATATATTTGTGCAATAAAGTTAAACTTTTTTCCTATCAAAACTCTGAATACAACAAGAAGAAAGTTTGTTTGACTTTTTAATCTTGTTTTATGATAGTTAAATAAACCTAACCAATTTGTTCCGCTCAGTGAGAATGTATACAGAAATAATCAGTTTAAACTCTCATCAAAATCGGTCAATTCGGTTTTTTAACACTCGCCCCTAAAAATTTCAATAAACCCTCCACAGTAGAAGATAGCCGCATCATCAAAAGAGCAAAGTGATATGAGATTAAGTAATGCCATTCAGGACTTAGTGACTTACCACCAGTAATAATGCTTAAACTTTTAAAAACTGCCATTGTCCAACTCTGTGATGAGCTAGTTTTAAACCAGCCATAAACCATGTTACAACAAAACTAGGAATTGCAAACATTGTCATATAAAAGAGAAATGCCTAAACTATAAGTTAATTTCATTAATTAGTAGGTAGAATAATATTACTCAGTTGATTAAAAGAGAGATCAGTTTAAACAATTTATTTTAGAAGTGCAGCATTTACACTAATACATTCATATCACAAGCAATAAGTAATCCCAGATGGCAAGCACAAAAACAACAATGTCAAAAAAGTTAAATAAATCAAGCATAGAAAGGCCCCTCAAGTTGAGTTCGCTAACAAGCATCAGGGCTTACCAATGACTTTCCAGCAACCTTTGACTTCTCTTCTATAATCACGACTATGAAGAACCTTACGCAAACCCTGTTCTCCCAATTGATTGGCCTATAAAGATAATAAAAAACCCAAAACACAGAGCTCTAAGACTTTCGGAAAGACACTTCAATATCTGAACAACATGTCAAAAACAAAGAAAGGACCAAAAGAAAGCCGTGCATACAAGGAGAAAGTCTTATAAATTGCATTTATAAGTCAACATGCTTACAAAATAGACCTCAATACTTTTGATAACATTTAATATTGAATATCTGATGTGTTGCTCAAAGTTTATTATCTTCATCTAAAATATGAAATCTTTGAGTTGTATCAATCTTTTGCATTTATTAACAAAAAAAAGAAAAAGAAGAGGTGAAGAATAATTTCACTCTTTTCAAATGCTTAAACTCTCGGTACAACAAATAGGACTAAGAAAGCAACTAAAGGAAAAAAGCTTAAGAAGTAGAAAGCACGCTAAACACACCAAAGTAGGAAGCAAAATAACAGGATATAGAAATAGCTATCCATGAATATACAGTGCAAATATTAAAAACATTAAAATAGAAACATAGCGATCTATGGACACCAAATAATGATCAACCGCTGCAGTCAACAATGGCTGTCAAATGCAAAACACCTGGGAAGGCAATATTAATGACCAAATTAATTTCATAATTCCATGATAAAGAGACCGCTAAGACTAGATTTTACTCCTAGTTTCCTACACGCCCCTTCAAACTGCATGATTCAACTTGACAATTTTAATATTTTGAAGATTTTTAAACAGAATGTCTCAATTTGAAAATATAATTGAGTATAAAGGAGAGAAACTATCCCATTATCAACCTTTACCTTGATAAAATGACTATCAACTTTGGCATGCTTCTTTGATCATGATAAACTAAGTTTTTACCGATAGATATCAGAGCTTGATTATCATATAATAATTTAAATGGTTCATTTTTAATGGATAAATAGTTCTTCGAGAAGCCTTTCCAACCACATTATTTCACAAATTCTATAGGCCAGAACCCCAAATTTTGCCCGAACACTGATTCTAACAAGTTGCTTTTTATTCCCACATAACACTATATCACCCCATATGAATTACAATATACTAAAATGGGTATACAATCAATAATGGATCCAACCCAATAAACACTAATGAAACAAGAATTTTTTTTAAAGATTTTCCAGAAGAATAATCCCCCTATCCTAGCCATTTTTAAGTGCCGAAGAATCTGATACGCTGCATCCATATGTTTTTAAGTAGATTAGTTCATTTGTTAATTAACCATGCTTAAAGAAAAGCAAATCTCAGATCTAGTTGAAAGTGGTAAATGAATTTGCCAACAACAATTTTGATCCTGACCTTTGCCCGTAGGAGAACTATATTTATTTACAATTTTTACATAAGGGTTCATAGGAGCTCTGTTTAAAATTGCGCAATAAGAGGCGCGCCTCTGCGCAATTTGACCCAAAACCGCCTCGAGGCTTACGCAATTCCTCTCCTGGCAGAGGTGTACGCCTCACTTGGACTGAGGCGCGCCTCAGAGGCGCAATTGCGCAATTCTGGCTGAGGCGTACGCCTCAAATATATGCTCAGTACCGCTCAGTATGTGCTCGGTACCGCTCAGTATATGCTTGGTATAGCTAGGTATTTGCTCGGTACTGCTAGGTACATGCTTGGTACCGCTCAGTACCGCTAGGTACATGCTCGGTACTGCTAAGGAACATGCTCGGTACCACTCGGTATCTTCCCATAAAAATAACTTACGAACTTCAAAAACAAATAGAACTTCAAAATTACTCTTACAATAAAATTTTGTACCCCTTGGACCCCGCCAGGGGGCAGCGCCCCCTTGGACCCCCAGCAGTCCGGCATATTGTTCTATTCATCATCTTTAGTAATAGTTGTTAGTGTTAGTCTACTTCTTCATGAGTGCATGCTTTGATTGGAAGACATTGGACTCTATAGGAGAGGAGGAAGGGGTGAGAAGATTCCCTTGAAGACCCATTTAGTGATGGGACATGATTGGATTATATATGTTCCTTCTTAATTGTACTTTGGGAGTTTTGATAGACTAATATTTTGTGGTTTTGTACTTTGGGACATGATTTTATTGCATCTATTTTCTTACTTTCCCCTAATTTTAACTGTCATTTAGATGTTTTTATTGTATGATAGAATCTTACTATTTTTTACTTGCTAAAACCCTTAAATTCTCATTTACGCAATTCTTCGTCGGTGAGGCTTACGCCTTACACCGCCTCGATGCTTACGCCTCGCCTCACGGACGAAAAACGCCTCAAGGCTTATTTACGCAATTTTAAACCTTGCATAGGAGTATCTATTGGTTTGCATCCCAACATTCACTTTTTCTTACAAAAAGATCAAGAATATACAAGTGTAGAGAGAGCACAAAGAAATAGTAATCCCCTTGTGAAATCAAGCTAACTTTATTTTCTAGAGAGGATAGGAAGTTGGCAGGACTTTAATTTCAATATTTTTAGCTAAGAAATGCTTCAAACTAGTCATATCTTTAGTGAAATCTCATATAAAGCCAATATCATCCAAATATACAATTAGGATAGCTGACCTTCAATCAGAAAACCTTTTCATAAATAATCTGTGGTAAGCTTGACATTGAATATGTCAGTACGTAATTTTTAACAACTAATGTGTATCCGCCAAACCAACCTCTTAGAAAATATTTTAAGCCCCTTTCCTTTGAGCATCTTCCCTAGTTTGCATTTGCATGTGATGGGAAAATTCGCGGTCATTTTGAGGGTTTTATTGTATATATATATATTGTTATATGTTCTTTCTAATGGAACTTCCTAACAAATTTGTCATTTTTATTTTCTATAAGTGTCTATCATTTTTGTGTTTCTTTATATGATTTTTAAGGAAGTATCTTAATTTGCATTCATAGTGTTTAATTAAGATGGGGGAAGGTATTTTCTATAAATTAATACTCAACATGGCTTAGGTGGAAGTTCGATACGGATTTGGGCGGGAGTCAAAATGTTTAGCGTGGGAATGGGTCTTGGACTCCTCTAGGTCGAGTACTAGACTGCAGGCTGCCTCTAACGTGTCTATTCCTCTCGTGAAAAGCTCAGTTCGGAGATCTTCCCTAAGACCAGCTCTAAACATAGACAGGATTTGGGTAGGGGTAGCAGATTCTTCACCATTGCAATGGATCAGGAAATCGTCGAATGCGGAGATGTAATCTTTAACGGGCTAGCTTCCCTAAGTCAACCTATTCCATTTATCTAGGAGCTTGGGGTAGTAGGATGGGGGAAGGTATTTTCTCCTAAGCTCTTGCTTCATAGTTCTCTAATCGGTGATACGGTGTTCGCCTCGAGCCTCACGCATATTTTCCAAATTGGTCCAGTACAGGTTGGCTCGACCAGTGAGTTTCATTTCAGCGAACCTAACCTTCCTAGCTTCCGAAATGTTGTACCATTTGAAATAACTATCCATCGTTTTGAGCCAATCTAAGAAAACTTGAGGGTCAAGGGTTCCATCGTATGTCGGGGCATCGATTCTAATGTTCTTAAGTAACTGAGCATCATTATCTCTCCAAGGGGCCTCATTTCCTAAGGTATCTTGATTGGGCCTAGGGTTATGACGGCATTGATCTCGTTGTAGTTCATGATCGATCTTGGTATCATCACCATAAGGTGACTGCGGCCTAGAAGGGGTGTAAATGGCGGGGTTTCCTATGCGCTCTATGTTATCCAGTCGATTACTTGTTTGGCGCCTAAAGTCTGCTAAGTCCGTCTGGGTGTTGCGGATTTGTTGAATAACAGTTCCCAATTGACCCACTATGAGGTCTAGAGTTGAATGGATATGTTCCGGATCCATGGGTGGAGGTTAGGGGTTGCTAGGGGAAGTACCGGGGTGGAGGACAGCACTTAAACAGTAGGGTAAAATGCTCCTAAGGCCTCCATATGATGCTGAAATGTTGGGGACAGCAACCTACCACAAGGACCTAAGTTGTCTAAGTGTTATGGTTGGGTTTTAAAGTGTGGACAGAAATATAACACTTGCCTAGACTCAAATAAAAGTGCTGGAATTTTCTGGACAGCAAGTTTTATGGTTTGGGCTAAGCAACCTAATCAATTACAGGTGTTGTAGTGACAAAGACAGCACTTAAACAATGAATTAGGCTTGCTTACAATGATGAAATCATGCAGAAATTTTCTGGACAGCAAAGTAAAACAGGGAATTTAAATTAACTAAGCAACGGTATGCATGCAACGAATGTCACAAATGGCTAACTAGACTCCTAGGAACTTCTAGCACCAGTAAAGCATGCTAGCCATGCTCTGATACCAAAATGATGTGATGCAAGCTTGGAGATACACAAGATTATAAAAGAGAACTTACTAATAGTTTAACCGTTATAAAATCATGCATCCATTCAAAGTTGGTTACAAGAGTTCTCTGTATTCCACTTGCTTAGGCAAAGGATTGCATGGAAATTAACCAAAACAATTTAATCAAATACAAAGTGGGAAGTAATGTTAAAAGCTCATAGCATGAATCCAAAGATTAATAATAACGAGTTGTTCACCTTGAAGACCTAATCTCTTTCCTATGAATCTAGGTTGAGCGGAGGAAGATTGTCCACGGTAGAAATGAGGTCGCCACGAGAAGGGAGGAGCCAAGGAACGTCGTTGTTGGGAAGGTCCTCGGAGGTGGAGATGGCACGGAAGGATGACCGTTGATGATCCACTCGTAGTCTGAAAATTGGTCGTCGACGGCGTCCACAAGGGAGGATTCGATTCAAATAATCTTTGATGGTGTCGTCAAAGCCAAATCCACGTCGAAGAAAGGAGATCGAAGGACGTGGATGGATCCGTAGATGTCGTATTCGAGTCCGTAATCAATGGCGGGATCCGCCATGCAACATTGGCTTGTGGATGAGAGATCACGACAAGAAAATCCAAAAGGGGAGGGGGTCGGCAGGCTTTGAGGCTTGGGTTGAGAGGGGGCGACTAGGTTAGAAAAATACTTAGGGAAGTTTTAATAAATCTGAAGTTAATTTCAGATTTAAGTG